TGGGTTCAAGCAATTCTGTCTCAGCCTCCCGAGTAGCTGGGATTACAGGCATGTGCCTCCATGCCTGGCTAATTTAGGATATTAAAGAAAAAAAATTTTTTTCTTCTTGAGAAGGGTGGGGCCTCCTTAGCTTAAATACTATGTTGAACAGAAAACTTTCCCCATCCTCTCTCTTAGATTAAGTCTGCTTCTTCTCTTTGCTTCTAGGATCCCCTGCTTTGTATCATGGCTCAGTCAAGTCAGCGTCGCCTGTTGAACAAAGAATTCATAGAGGGTTCATAGAGGGTCCAGTTCATCGCTGCTTATTTCACAGTCATTGTTTTTTGGATTTTTTTTTGAGACGGAGTTTTGTTACCCAGACTGGAGTGCAATGGCGCGATCTTGGCTTACCGCAACCTCCGCCTTCTGGGTTCAAGCAATTCTCCTGCCTCAGCCTCCCAGGTAGCTGGGACTACAGGCGTGCACCACCATGCCCAGCTAATTTTTGTATTGTTAGTAGAGACGGGGTTTCACCATGTTGACCAGGATGGTCTCCATCTCTTGACCTCGTGATCCACCGGCCTTGGCCTTCCAAAGTGCTGGGGTTATAGCCGTGAGCCACCACGCCCGGCCCACAGTCATTGTTTTAAGAAATGGTTCATGACCAGCCTGGGCAACATAGCGACATCTTAGTCTAAAAAAAAAAAAAACAAAAAATTTTAAATAGCTGGTTGTGGTGGTATGTGCCTGTTGTCCCAGCTACTCTGGAGGCTGAAGCAGGGGGATCATTTGAGCCCAGGAGTTACAGGATGCAGTGAGCTGTGATTGCACCACTGCACTGCAGCCTGGGCAGCAGAGCAAGACACTATCTCAAAAATTAAATAAAATTACATTAAAAAAAGAAAGAAAGAAAAGAAAAAGAAAAAAATGTGTATTGTTCTGGGGCTTTTGTTGAAAGAGATGTGAGTTCTGCACTCCAAGAGGAAACTGACATGCATGCATTCATTGAAGGAACATTTGTTGGTACCTCCTTTGTGCTGGATGCTGGACACACAGAAATAGTCAGTTCCCTCAGGACTCTCACTGTGTAGAGAGAGGAGCCACCAGTGCTGGGGTGGGGCAGGTCCACAGAGCCAAATCAGGACACCTAATCCATACAGTGGCCGATGATGGGGGAGGTGTCAGAGAAGTCTTTCTGAAGGAGTGGGATCTGAGTTGAATTTTGGACGAAGAATAAGAGCTGGCCAACTAAAGAATGTTGGACTGGATGTGGTGGCTCATGTCTATAATCCCAGCACTTTGGGAGGCTGAGATCAGGAGTGTGAGACCAGCCTAGCCAACACGACGGAACTCTATCTCTACTAAATACAAAAAATTCCCCGGGCATGGTGGTGCATGCCTGTAATCCCAGCTACTTGGGAGGCTGAGGCAGAAGAATTGCCTGAACCTGGGAGGTGAATGTTGGAGTGAGCCAAGATTTCGCCATTGCACTCTAGCCTGGGCAGCAAGAGCGAAACTCTGCCTTGGGAAAAAAAAAAAAAAAAAAAAAAAGAATGTGGGAGTAGTCTGTAGATCTGTAGAAAGTTGCAGTAATGGGCGAAGGTGTGACACATCTGGGAACTCCCAGAGTTGAATACACCGGGCTTTGGTTTTATCCTGGAGGTCACAGAGTGCCACTGAAACTATCCAGCAAGAGAGTGGTCTGAGAAAGACAGAGAGAGGTGGGCAGGGTAGGGGATGGGAGTGGGTGGGGAGTGGCAATAGCCTATTCTGGAATTCAGACCTGAGGCGAGGTTAGGAAATGGAAAAGAGGGGCCTTCAGAGGCTATCTGCATGACAGACCCGGGAGTCTTCACGGAAAAGACCCATCCATCCTAAGGGAGGAGAAGCAGAGTCCAGCAGATGGGCCTGGCCCAGCCACAAAGCTGAGTCCATTTCTCTAAGGAGTGATGAGTGGATTTCCGGATATAGCTGCTTAGTCATATGTGTGGGAATTGGATCTTTCTACATTCTGGCCTTTTGTGGATTCTTGTCTGATTTTGGGGCCAGGGGTGGTGGTGGTAGGGCTTTAAGTAAAAATAAAAATCACAATGATTGCTAACTATTTTGAACACTTATGCCAGGAATTTATACACTTTGGCTCATTTAATTCTCATCACAGCCCCACACTGAGGTTACCACTATATCTATCCCCATTTTACAGCTGGAAAAACCAACCAAGCAACTCATCCGAGGAGAAGCCCTCCCACCTTACTCATGTTGGGACTGGCACATGCCAGGTAATTGAAAAAGTCAGCTAAAGCAGGGAGCTGTAAGAAAAATCTCTATACAGGGTAAGCATTTCTTTTGGGGACAATCATCAATTTATACATAGTTCTAAGAAGTATAACAGGGAGATCTCACAGACTGCCCCCCAGTGGTAACATTTTGCAACCCTTCTTAACAGAATACCAGGCCGGGCACAGTGGGATAATCCCAGCACTTTGGGAGGCCGACGCGGGCAGATCACGAGGTCAAGAAATCGAGACCATCCTGGCCGATACGGTGAAATCCCATCTCTACTAAAAATAAAAAATTAGCTGGGCGTGGTGGTGTGCACCTGTAGTCCCAGCTACTCAGGATGCTGAGGCAGAAGAATCACTTGAACCTGGGAGGCGGAGGTTGCTGTCAGCTGAGATCATGCTACTGCACTCCAGCCTAGTGACAGAGCAAGACTCCATCTCAAACAAAACAAAAACAAAAACAAACAAACAAAAAACCTAGAATGCCATGCTCGCTTCAGCAGCACATATACTAAAATTGGAACAATACAGAGAAGATGAGCATGGCCCCTGCGTAAGGATGACACGTAAATTTGTGAAGCGTTCCATATTTTTTTTAAATTAAACAAACAAACAAACCCAGAATGCCTACTATGTGTCAGGTACTGCTTCAGGTGCTGGAGACATGGACACGGGAAATATTAGCTGACAGAAGCCACAAGAGTGAATGAGATCCCCAGGCAGTGTGTTGAGTCAGAAGAAAGAAGGGTGGCAAAAGGAGCCCCAATATTTGAGGGTTACGAAAAAAGCCTTAAGGAGACCTTGAAGGTAGGATAGAGAGAAGAAGAGAGTGGTGTGATGGAAACTAAGGTAGACAATGGTGCCAAGAAAGAAAGAGTGTCCGGTGCTTCAGAGGTCATCTGCAAGGAGGACTGGGAAGTGTCCATTGGATTTAGCAGCCAGATGTCACAGATGAGCAGGCAGGTAGCCCAGTAATATGGAGGGGAGCAGGACTACAGTTCAGTGAGGAGTGAATTGGGTAAGGAAGCAGTAGAGAGCACTTTACAGTGAGTCTTTCAACTCAGGTAGGAAAGAGGGGGTAAAGTTAGGGTAAAGGAGAAATTTTCCATGAATTTTGTCTCTAGAATGATGATTAAGAGTCAGTGAGAGTCTGGCCGGTCGTGGTGGCTCACGCCTGTAATCCTAGCACTTTGGGAGGCCGAGGTGGGTGGATCACCTGAGGTCAGGAGTTCAAGACCAGCCTGGCCATCATGGTGAAACCCCATCTTTAAAAAGGAAAAGGTTTTAATTAAAAAAAAAAAAAAAAAAAAAAAAAAAGGAGTCAGTGAGAGTCAAGATTTCAGGCCTGTTAGAGCAAAACCCCAAGGAGTAAGAGTTGGAACTTGGAGCACAGATGAGTCATGGCTGGAGGGGTGGGCCTGGGCCTGTCTTTCTGAAAGGAAATAACGCAGGAAGAGGTGCAGATAAAGCTGTGGCTGCTTGGAGAGGGAAGTGATTACTTCCAGCTGGGGCACCCAGGGAAGGGATACGGATATTTGAGTGCCAGGGGCATTTGAGGCTAACAATGGAGGGGTGAATTGGCCAAAGTCAAAGGCAGGTGAAGGATGGCAGGGGAGGAGGCCAGGAAATGCAGACCAAGGTGGGTGTTGGTATGGTTGGGGCGCTGGGGTCAGATGACACATACACTTCAAATTCCAGCTCCCAGTTACTTCTTAGCTGCAACACTGAAGAAGTTCCTTAACATGTTTGAGATTCTCCATCTGTAAAATGGTGATGACCCTAATAAGGGTTGTTGGAGGAGGACTAGATGTCTACAAAGAGCTCAGCCCTCGCCGGGCGTGGTGGCTCACGCCTGTAATCCCAGCACTTTGGGAGGCCGAGGTGGATGGATCACCTGAAGTCAGGAGTGTGAGACCAGCCTGGCCAACATGGCGAAACCCCGTCTCTACTAAAAATACAAAAATTAGCTGGGCATGGTGGCACGTGCCTGTAATCCCAGCTACTCGGAAAGCTGAGGCAGGAGAATCATTTGAACCCAGGAGGCGGAGGTTGCAGTGAGCCGAGATCGCGGCATTGCACTCCAGCCTGGGCAACAAGAGTGAAACTCCGTATCAGAAAAAAAACAAAAAACAAAAAACAAAAAATCCCCCAAAATGCCAAAGAGCTCAGTCCAGTTTAGTGCTTGGCGCTCCATATCTGAGCGCTAAGTCACGAATGTAAAGCCATCGGATGTGTGCTTTAAGGGAAATTAACTGGGCCACACGGTGTGAAGCGGACTGAGGTGGGAGAAGCCTGCACAGGACCTTGTATGTACCCTAGCTACTCAGGAAACAACCTAATTCTCTGCTGGGCGTCTTATACAGGATACAGTTTCTGCCTTTCCAGGGCTCACAGTCCTCACTTCAGTGCCAAAGTTGGAAGGAAAGAGGATGAAGTCGTAAATTCTTCAGTTTAGCCTCTCGCTAACTGTTCCCTGCCGCAAGTGAGGGCAACGAGGTGCAGGGTGGGCAAGCACGTACTGCCAAAGCTCCTCTGGGCTTTGCGAACCGCCGACGGCCAACGACAGAGTTTACTCCAGCCGGGCCCGCGCGGAAAAAGAAGCGCAGGCGCACTGCGGGGGAGAGCGCTCACCTGGGCTGGAGTGGGCGGAGCAAAACCCGGAGCGAGATGGCGTCATGGGGACGCAGCCGCAGAGTGAGTCGCGTCCCGGAAGCGGCGATGGCGGCGGCGTAAGCGGAGATTTTCGGTCCTGCGACTTCCGAACGGCCCAGCGGGGAGGAGCGGCGTTCGTCTGGGGCTGGCCTGAGGAAACACTCCGGGACCCAGTGCCTCTCCTCCTGCTCCTGCCCGACCCTCACGGAGCCAGCGGCCAGGTAGGTGAGGTCCCGCCCCCGCCGCACCCCCCGCGTACCCGTGTCTCCGCAGACTGTGTGGAGTTGGGCGCTTGAGCGCTGCCGGGGCCGCCCACCTGCTGGCCCCGCGACCTTGGGCGTGGCTTTCCCTGTCCAGCCGCACGGGCTCTATCAGGCCCCCTTGGCTGAAGGGGTGTTGGCCAAGGCCAGTGCGGGCGCCGACTTGCCTAGCCCTTTCCTGGGCTCCTACCTCGCGCCGCTCTGGGCCCTTTTCGCCCTGGCTCGGCCCGCGGGGATTTCGGGCTCCCGTTGGCTCCTTTGTCACATCCCCTCACAGTCCCATCAGTTGGCAGCTTATTGCCTGGGACTGGTTTATGTTGCTCTTCGCCGAGGTTCCGCCCCCTTGTTTGCCGCTTAGCCAGGACTTGGAACTGGGAAAGAGCGTAAGCGTTCCTGGGGCTCCGCATCAGAGAGGGCAGATGGGAATGGGGCGTTCTGATGTCGACTGCCTTGGGGAGAGATGGCCCAGGAAGTTGTTGGGAACCGAAGGGAGTGGGAAGGATTAAAGGATGGGGCGGGAGTCCTGGAGCACGGTATTTCATTCACTCATTCAGCAGGCATTTGTTAAGCACCCACTGTGTACAGAAACTGGTGAATGGAGGCCAGCTGAAAGTTAAGAGTAGGAAGCTTTACTTTGACGTGGTAAGTGCTCTGTTAGAGTCAGTACGTGATCCTTTGGGAGCATTGGGCAAGGTCTCCCAATCTAGACTTGAGGGTGTTGGCAGAGACTTCCCAGAGTAAGAGAGTGATGTTTAAGCTCGTACATGAAGGATGAGTAGGAATTAACCAGGTAAGGAGTGGTACCAAAATGTTCCAGGGCATCATTTCTTTTCAGACCACGGGCTGCCTCCCTGCAGCGATCATTTATGCTTGATTTTTATGATTTTTTTTTTTTTTTTGAGATGGAGTCTGGCTGCGTCGCCAGGCTGGAGTGCAGTGGCATGATCTCGGCTCACTGCAACTTCCGACTCCCTGATTCAAGCGATTCTCCTGCCTCAGCCTCCCGAGTGATTATAGGCACGCGCCAACAAGCCCAGCTAATTTTTTTGGTATTTTTAGTAGAGACGAGGTTTCACCATGTTGGCCAGGGTGGTCTAGATCTCTTGACCTCGTGATCCACCCCCCTTGGCCTCCCAAAGTGCTGGGATTACAGGCGTGAGCCACCGTGCCCGGCTAACTTTTAGTTTTGTTGTGTATGTGGGAAAAGAGCATTGGATGGAGACTCCAAAGAACAGGATTTTAGATCTGAATAATTCACTTTGCCTTGCTCAGAGGTATTCTGTGGGCACCAAATGAAGCAGTAGGTAGAAGTGTCTTGGGGATTAGATGTGCAATGCAAATGTTGGGAATTATTATGGTTACAGGATGCAGACATCAGAACGTGAGGGGTGTGGGCCGGAGGTGAGCCCCAGCGTGATGCCCGAGGCTCCCTTGGAGTCTCCACCTTTTCCTACCAAGTCCCCAGCATTTGATCTTTTCAACTTGGTTCTCTCCTACAAGAGGCTGGAGATCTACCTGGAACCCCTGAAGGATGCAGGTGATGGTGTTCGATACTTGCTCAGGTACAGACTTGTGGAGTTGCTCTGGTCTGCTCTGCCTTCTGCCTTCCTGCTCTGTAGTAACTAACATTGACCATTTAAGCAGTGGCTGGCTGTCCTTTTTGCCCTAATGAGGAGCCGTTCTGGGAGGTTTGTTTGGCCTCTGGGTTTATCCAGGCCTACCCTGTGTCTCAGGCCCAGCCAGGAAAAGCAGATACTGGGAGTGATCCTGCCTTTCAGCAAGGTTCTTCTTTGTGACTGAATAAACTCCTTCCTCAGGACTGCTAGATAGCCTTGAACATTAGGCCTTCTACAGCCTGGAGCAATCTTCATGTTTTCCTTTGCTCCCAATATTAGCATAATTAATACTAAAAATTAGGATATAATTTTGAACAAAAGTTTAAGAAATACAAAAACCTATGAATAAGCAGATACCATTTTCACTTTTTTTTTTTTTTTGAGACAGGATCTTGTTCTCTTGTGCAGGCTGGAATGCAGTGGTGTGATCATGGCTCACTGTAGCTTCAACTTCCTCGGCTCAAGCGATCTTCCTACCTCAGCCGCCATACCTGACTAGTTAAAAAACAAAAAAAAATTGTAGAGATAGGGTCTTACTGTGTTGCCGAGGCTGGTCTTGAACTGTTGGGCTCAAGCGATTCTCCTGCCTCAGCCTCCCAAAGTGCTGGGATTATAGGTGTGAGCCTCTGTGCCCAGCCCATTTTCACTAATTTATTGAGATTATGGATATTAATTTTTTTCCCTCCTATCCTGCTTTTTCATTCTCTATAATTTTCTTTTGGCTCTTTTATTATGTTAAAATTATTTTAAATTATGTATATGGCATTCTACTCCCTAAATATGTCAGTTTTTGTCTCTAAATAAGGACATTTCTTTCAAAATCAAAGTAGTATCATACCTAACAAAATTAATAATAACTCCTTGGTATCATCCTATACTCAGTTCATATTCCATTTCCTCAGTTGTACAATCTGTTTGGCTAAATCATATTTCAGTCCAGGACTGTGCATTGTTTGTATTATTATGTCTTAAGTTTTTTTCAGTCTTAAACAATCTCTCTCATGACATTAACTTGCTGAAGAGACTGAGCTTGAACTGACTGTCCTAGAATTTACTACCGAGATTTGTCTGGTTTCTTCTTGAGGTGCAGAGTAGAAGTTAGATTTAAAGGTTAGATTCTGGCTGGGCGTGGTGGCTCATGTCTGTAATCCAGCACTTTGGGTGGCCGAGGCAGTTGGATCACAAGGTCAAGAGATCGAGACCATCCTGGCCAACATGGTGAAACCCCATCTCTACTGAAAATACAAAAATTAGCTGGGTGTGGTGGTGTGTGCCTGTAGTTAGTTCCAGCTACTCAGGAGGCTGAGGCAGGAGAATCGTTTGAACCTGGGAGGCGGAGGTTGCAGTGAGCTGAGATCGTGCCACTGCACTCCAGCCTGGTGACAGAGCGAGACCCTATCTCCAAAAAAAAGGTTGAATTCAATTCAAGTTAGAAAAGTTTTTTGGTTTTTTTGCAAAGGTAAATGTTGTGTCCCTGATACTGCATTGCATCAGGAGTCGCACAAAAACCTGATTGTCCTAAAGAGCAGAGGTTTTTAACTTGGAGCCTATGGGTAGCTTTTAGGGGTCAGTGAATCCCCTGAAACTGCATGTAAAATTATGTGTCTGCACATGTGTATATTTCTAGGGAAAGCTGCTTGTTTTCATCAGATTCTCATAAAGACCCTCAACGCTCTAAAATACCCGAGAGAGACTGGTAGGAAGCAGGGCGAGTGGAGTTAGGTTAACTTCCAAGGATACCATTGAGTCTGGCATCAGTCTGGAAATAGTGGATGGTTTGTTACTAGTTCTCTGTCCAAGGCCCTACATTTTTCTCATTCACCTAGTTTATGTCAGTATCCGTAGAGGTGGACTAGTCAGTGTTCCAGAGCTGTGGTCTGTACAAGATCACTGTGCTCTTGGCACAAGGGGTAGGGAGATAGTATGAGGAGTGGCTTTGATAATCTCAGCATGTTGTGAAGTTTGGTTTTCCTTAGGAGAGAGCCTGTGCTCCCTGGAACATTCTTTGTATGTGTGTGTATTGCCCTTTTGTGGCAAAGTACAAAAGTTAAGTATATCCCTCCCTGCCCTTCTTTTCCTCTATTGGTCTGTAGTGCTTCTTAGGGCACTAATATGTTAAGTTTTTTTCATTTTATGGAATTAGAAATTGGAGGATGTGGTAGATTGGTGAAAGCTGGATGCAGGAAGAGCATTGGACCTAAAAGCCCCCAGAAGCCTATGGTTTCTGTGCTGCTGCGAGAGGGAGCGCTGGTCTGTGAAAGTGGCTGTCAGATTAGTTTGTGCTTTTGATTGTTCTTTTCTTGGTAAAGAGGATTTGACTTTGAAGAAGTACCTAATCTTGGACTCTGGCTATTAGGTCTGAAGCCTAGAGCTGCAGTAAATTGTTAACAGACTCTCTCCTGGGATTAGGTACTCTACTACGTGGGTCTCCTGGGACCAAAGCGTCAGTAAAAACATTTGATAGAAGGGAAGAGGTTTTTTTTTTTTTTTTTGAGGCGGAGTTTCACTCTTGTTTCCCAGGCTGGAGTGCAATGGCGCGATCTCGGCTCATCGCAACCTCCGCCTCCTGGGTTCAGGCAATTCTCCTGCCTCAGCCTCCTGAGTAGCTGGGATTACAGGCACGCGCCACCGTGCCCAGCTAATTTTTTGTATTTTTAGTAGAGATGGGGTTTCACCGTGTTGACCAGGATGGTCTCGATCTGTTGACCTCGTGATCCACCCGCCTCGGCCTCCCAAAGTGCTGGGATTACAGGCGTGAGCCACCGCGCCCGGCCCGGGAAGAGGTTTTAAAATCAAAGTGACTTCAGTGGTGGTGTGATGTATTTATTTCCAAGATGGGATTGGCTTTTATTTCGCTTTACCCTGGTAGCTGCCACTAGAGGTTCTGACGCCTAATTAGGGTGATACAGGTGGAGTGTGTTGAATTTCAGGAGCAAGGCAGAGATGTCATTTCATTCCCTTACTCATATAAAAAGTAAAAGCCCCTTTACACTGTTGGTAGGAGTGTAAATTAGCTCAACCATTGAAGGCACTGTGGTGATTCCTCAAGGATCTAGAGCCAGAAATACCATTTGACCCAGCAATACCATTACTGAGTATATACCCAAAGGATTATAAATCAGTCTACTATAAAGACACATCACACATATTTATTGCAGCACTATTCACAGTAGCAAAGACTTGGAACCAACCCAAATGCCCATCAGTGATAGACTGGATAAAGAAAATCTGGTACCATATATACCATGGAATACTATGCAGTCATAAAAAAGGATGAGTTCATGTCCTTTGAAGGGACAAGGATGAAGCTAGAAACCATCATTCTCAGTAAACTAGCACAGGAACAGAAAACCAAGCACCACATGTTCTCACTCATAAGTGAGAGTTGAACAATGAGAACACATGGACACAGGAGGGGGACTATTATATACCAGGGCCTGTCGAGGGATGGGAGGCTAGGGGAGGGATAGCATTAGGAGAAATACTTAATGTACATGATGGGTTGATAGCTGCAGCAAACCACCATGGCACGTGTATACCCATGTAACAAACCTGAACGTCCTACATGTGTATCCCAGAACTTAAAGTATTTTTTTTAAAAAAAGTAAAAACCCCACATAAATTAGTTAACTTCATTCAGTAACTCTGAAATACTCCAATTAGAGCACGAGAAAATATATTTAGCCCTGGTACAGTAACTTACCCCTGTAATCCCAGCACTTTGGGAGGCTGAGGTAGGCAGATCACCTGAGGTCAGGAGTTCGAGACCAACCTGGCCAACGTGGTGAAATCCCGTCTCTACTAAAAACACAAAAATTAGCCAGGTGTGGTGATGGACCTGTAATACCAGCTACTAAGGTGGCTGAGACAGGAGAATCGCTTGAACCCAGTAGGCGGAAGTTGCAGTGAGCCAAGATTGTGCTAGTGCACTCCAGTTTGGGCGACAAGACTGAGACTTTGTCTCAAAAGAACAAGAAAAAAAATGCATTCAGTGCTTTGCTTGCCAGCAATTTGCCTGTTTATTTTTCTGATATTTGTCTCTCTCTGATGGCTCACCTTATAAACTGACACTGTCTTTAGAATTTGGGTGTCATGGCTTTATTGTTGCATCTGTGCTCCTCTTTCCAGAGTAAATGTCCTTTATCAGGGACGGGTCTAGCAGCATTTGCTTGTTCTCAGCAACTTGAGTCTCTGGTCTTCCTTCTTCCCACTTTGGGGACTTCTGCATTGCCATTTGGTGGTGGCAGTGGTGGTGGCAGTGGCTGTATCTGTGTTTGCTTCTGTCTATTCCAGCTCACTTATGGTATGATTGCTAAGTGAATGCTGCACGCTACTTTCATCTTGATTTTTAATATATTAAAAAAAAAAATCTTTATTATTTTTTCTCCTTTTGAATTATTAAGTGTTCAAAATAAACTTTCAGATAAACTCTCAAACTTTCAAAATCACGGACATAAGAAGATAAAGGCACAAACAAGGATCAAAGAAGTTACGATTTGTTCTTTCTTGATTTCTGTATTAGTTGAATCTTGTGCAATGATTATATAATCTTATGAAAGTATGAAAAAAGAATAAAGTATTAAGAACTTTGTTAGTGTCACCTCTTGAGGAGACTACAACCTTACAAAACACAGTTTAAATGATATTAACTGGGTTTCTTAACTGATATTTTATGAAGTCTTCTTCCTTTTGGGAGAAAGCACTACAGACCTTTCAGTTCCCTTACCCCAGGTGCTAATGTGTGACCTGTTACCACCTCTCCTGGTCACCAGTCCAAGTGAGAGGCCCCCTTTTCATTTCTCCTTAACCTTTTGTGTTCCAGGCCTCCTCTTCTGGCTTGATGTCCCATCTGTGCTGCCTGGTCTCCCCTCCCTGGCTGGAGGAGTGGCTCTCTGTAGTGATCAGGACTCTCTGTGTTGTAGGTGGCAGATGCCTTTGTGTTCCTTGCTGACCTGCCTGGGCCTCAACATCTTGTTCCTCACTTTGAATGAGGGTAAGAACTGCCTCCAGAGGCCAGTGTTTTTTGTGAACGAATGTTGGGGAAGGACACCTGGATGCAGCCCCACCCTGTGTGCCCTGTGTGCCCTGTGTGCCGGAGCTGCTTTTGTTGCCCTGGAGTTAGCTTTCCTCTCTGTCTGCTTGGAGTCAGAAACAGGCTCTAGAGGGACAATCCAGGCTGAGCTGCCTGCTGTGACCTTGGGCAAATTATGAACTTCCCTGTTACTCCTGATTTTCCTTATCTCTAAAGGGAGGATAAAAATGCTGCTTTCCTCCTAGAGTATTTGTGAGGAATGTGGCATAATACTTAGCACAGTGCCTGGTGTGGAATAGGCAGCCAGTGCATTGGAGCTGCTCTCAATATTATTATTTCCTTGACTTCCTGCTGAGGATGCATTGACCTTTTTCCATTTTGGTTTTCCAGCTGATTCAAGGGGTCATCTAGGGACATGGTATGGGTAAAGGTAGTGGGGAGTGGAGCTGAGAAGAGATTTCTGCCATATCTGTTGCTTTTCTCTGGTTCAGCCAGTGAGCCTAGCGGGAGCTGCTGGGCAGTCACCAGCAGAGAGGAGGGGCATGAAGCCTTTGAGATAGAATTGTGGACACATAGGTGTCTACTGGGGTCCTGGATAATGTATTCTATGGACCTCTTACTATCGTGCATGCTGTGATCCTGCCCTGTCCATGGTTGACACTGGCAGATGGCTACACAGAAAGCCAAACTCCTCAGGGTCAGAATAAAGTCTAGAACAGAATGTTCAGAGGAGTTGGACCATTATTTATGTTTTTGTTGTTATATTGACCTTGTATTTCTCAGGTGTCTTCTTTGTTTCCTCTGGAGGTAGAGACTGAGGAGGTTGAAAATAAATCCAGTTCATACAAGATCTCATTTTCTCTTTCTTAGTTGGACTCATCTTTACCTGTTGAGAACTTCCTAGGATGTTTGATTTTTCTATATATGCTCCCAAAGTAAATCAGTTCCCGTGACAGATATTTAATAAGCATTTATTATGGGCCCGCTGCTCTGTTAGCTTGCTGTTGTACCATATTGCATGGAAGAAGTTCCTTCTTTGAATTTTATGTCGGCCTTACCATTTCTCAAGGCAGTCGTCTGTGGTGTGCTAAAAGCCAAAGGAAAGGCTTCCAGGCTACCTTAGTGGCCCAGAGGTCCGAATATCAGTCAGCAGGAGCTCCTGGCAATCACACTGCAGCATGAGCCTCTGACTGTGTGCTAGCAGCATCTTAAAATGTATTAAAAGTGAGGCTGGGGCCACAGCAGTGACCAAAGGGACAAAGTTCCAGCCCTCAAGAGCTTACTTCAGTAGAGGAGACAACAGACATGCCTGTAATGTGTCATGTGGTGATAAGGTCTATGAGGAGTGAAGCTGGGTTAAGGGGGCTGGAGAGTAGGGGTGAGACACTGTGTCATACAGGCCATCAGGAAAGCCTGACTGGCAGAGCCCTGGAGGAGGTGAGGGACAAGCAGTGGGTGTCTGGGTGGGCCAACTCCTGGTCCTTGCTTACCTGTGTTACCTGCAGTGTTTTTGATTCTGTAGGTGCATGGTACTCAGTAGGTGCCCTGATGATTTCAATGCCCGCCCTGCTGGGCTACCTTCAGGAGGTTTGCCGGGCACGGCTGCCCGAGTCCGAGCTGATGCGGAGGAAGTATCATAGCGTGAGGCAGGAGGACCTGCAGAGAGTGCGCCTATCTCGCCCCGAAGCTGTGGCTGAGGTGAAGAGCTTGTGAGTATGGAAGAGAGGCCAGGGAGGTGGGGGAACAATAACAGCAGCCATGACACTAAGTGCTAGCTGTGTGTGCCAGATGTTATAGTAGGCAAACCACAGCTGTTACTTAGTCTTTTTAATAGTTCTGAGAGATAGCTAGTATTAATATCTTCCATTTATGGGTGAAGAAAAAGGCTGACTGACTTACCTAGAAAGTGACCAAGCTGGGATGAGAATCTAGATCTAGCTGTTTTACAGCCTGTGTTCTTTTGCTGGAGAGACAGGTTAGGGTCTGGACTAAGCATGTGAATATATGAGCCACTGCTGCCTAGGTTCAAATCCCAGCTCTTCCATTTACTTGCTGTGTAACACTGGGCAAGTTACTTAGCTTCTCTGTCTCAGATTTCTCATCTGTTAAATAGGTTAATAACAGGGCTTACTCACAAGGTGGTTGTGAAGATTGAACAGGTGTTTGGTACTGGGAAGTGTTGAGTAGATATAAGTTATCATCACTACACTGTGGAGAAACTTCCTAAACATGACAGAGCTGGTACTTTTGAGGAAGCATTAATCTACTGACTTCAGTAGCAGTGGGCATTTATTCCTCCCTTCTCTGGAGTGGGGTCTGTGCATTCTCTTCAGATAGAGTAGGGGAAAGAAAAGTTATAAACAAACAGATATCTGGGCCTCACCCCAGAAATTGAGTCAGTTATCTAGAGTGGGGCCTGGATATGTAGTTTTTTTTTTTATTGCATTTTAGGTTTTGGGGTACATGTGAAGAACATGCAAGATTGTTGCATAGGTACACACATGGTAGTGTGATTTGCTGCCTTCCTCCCCTTCACCTACATCTGGCATTTCTCCCCGTGCTATCTCTCCTTTTTCTTTTTTTTTTTAAGACAGAGTCTTGCTCTGTCTGCCAGGCTGGAGTACAGTGGCATGATCTTGGCTCACTGCAGCCTTTTTCTCCTAGGCTCAAGCAATTCTCCTGCCTCAGCCTCCCAAGTAGCTGGGATTACAGGTGTGTGCCACCACGCCTGGCTAATTTTTGCATTTTTAGTAGATATGGGGTTTCACCATGTTGTCCAGGCTGGTCTTGAACTCCTGACCTCAGGTAATCCGCCCACTTCACCCTCCCAAAGTGCTGGGATTACAGGCTGAGCCACCATGCCCGGCCCTGGATATGTAGTTTTTAAAAAAGACTTTCTTACTTCGAAATAGTTTTATTTTATATATATGTATATAAATGCATTTTTTTTTTGAGACAGAGTCTTGCTCTGTCACAAAGGCTGGAATGCAGTGGTGTGATCTTGGCTGACTGCAACCCCTGCCTCCTGTGTTCAAGTGATTCTTGTGCCTCAGCCTCTAGAGTAGCTGGGATTGCAGGCATGTGCCACTATGCCCAGGTAATTTTTGTATTTTTAGTAGAGACGATCACCAGGTTGGCCAGGCTGGTCTTGAACTTCGGCCTCAAGTGTTCTGCCCGCCTTGGCCTCCCAAAGTGCTAGGATTACAGGCATGAGCCACTGTACCTGGCCTGAAATAGTTTTAAACTTAAAGAAGTGCAAGAATAACACAAAGAACTCCCGTATGCCCTTTACCTAGATAGAACAGTTATTAACATTTTGCCATGTCGGCTTTGTCTGTCTCTCTACATATACACATTATTTTTATTTTCTTAAACCATTTGAAAGTAAGTTGCAAATATAACTGTTTACCCCAAATACTTCAGCATGGATTTGCTAAGAACAAGGACATTCTCTTATATATCCACAGAACTGTAATCAAAATTAGGAAACTTAACATTGATAACATTAACAGTATTAATATCTAATGTATAATTTATAATCAGATTTTACCAATTGTATTAATAAAGTTCTTTTTCTTTTATTAATTTTCTTTATATTTTATTTTTTGGGACGGGGTCTTGCTCTGTCGTCCAGGCTGGAATGCAGTGGCATGATCATGGCTCACTGCAACCTTCACCTCCTGGACTCAAGTGATCCTCCTGCCTCAGCCTCCTGAGTAGCTAGGACCACAGGCACATGCCACCATGCGCTGCTAATTAACACATTTTTTTGTAGAGATGGGGTCTCACTGTCATGCCCAGGCTGGCCTTGAATTCCTGGGCTCAAGCAATCCTTCTGCCTTAGCCTCCCAAAGTGCTGGGACTTCAGGTGTGAGCCAGTTTGGGTGGCCTAATAAAGTTATTTGTATCAGTTTCCCTGATCTGGGATCCAATCCAGGCTTATACATCATGTTTAATTTTTTTATATCTCTTTAGTCTTCTTTAACCTGGAGCAGTACCTCAGTCTTTGTTTCTTGTAACCTTGATATTTTTGAATAGTACAAGCTTATTATTTTGTAGAATCTCCCTCATTTTTGGATTGTTTGATCCATTGTGATTAGATTTAGGAGTGTGACAAGTGATGTGTCATGTTCAGTGCATCCATATCAGGCACATGATAGGCACATCATGGGGCACATCAGGCATATCAGGAGGCACAAGTACTGACTTTGATCACTTGGTTAAGGCATCCATACTGTAAATTATCATTTTACTTTTCATTCGCAGTAATTTGAGGGGAGATACATTGAGACTATGTAAATATCTTGTTCTTCATCAAACATTTACCCACTGCTTTAAAATCCATTGATGGGTCTTACCTTAATCAGTTTATTACTATGATGGTTGCAAAGGTGATTTTCTAATTGTCATTCTATCTAGATTTTTTTTTTAAGCTGGCTTTCTATTATAAGAAAGCTCTTCCTTTTTTATTATGAGTATGAACTCACAGATTTATATTTTATTTGATGAGTTAGAATCTATTACTGCCATTATTTTAATCTCAAATTGTCCTAGGGTTGGCCAGTAGGAGCTCTTTTGAGTTGACTCTTGTTTGCATTTTCCCCATCATTTTTGAGTGTTTCCTTACTTTATGGTACAACAGGATGTTCCTATTCATCTTATACTTCCCTGCCCCAGCCCTGGAATCAGCTTGTCTCCAAGGAACCCTTCAGAACCCAGATCTGGGTTCAGACTGTGCTCAAGGCTTCTGTGGTTCATCTATGTTTTAAAAAAGCAACAACCAGAACTCCCCATGTGAGTCTGTTTCACCTCCCAGGTGGAGAATATCATGCCATTTATCCTGACAGCTGCTGTGTACCTGTGAGGTGGGTCCTCTGATCCTCATTTGATAGATGCAGAAACTATAGCCCTGGAAAAGTTCAGTAGCCTGCCTGACATCAACAGCTAGGAAGAGACCAAAGCAGGATTTATACTGTTTCTACCTCAGCAGGAGCCTCCAAAAAGGAGACTGGAATGTAGTTGGGGTGGCTTAGCCAGTCCCTTTTCTCCCATGCTCTCTCAGCCCCTCTGTCTTTAAACACATGGTGAGTGTGTTTAAAGAGATTGGCCATCCCTAGCCAGCTGCACCTTGCAAGGCCCCAGGCTCCACTTCCCAGAACTTCTGTCCTGCCCACTCACCAAAGTCCTCGTGTCTGTAGCTTGATCCAGCTGGAGGCCTTCCTGAGCCGCCTGTGCTGCACCTGTGAAGCCGCCTACCGCGTGCTGCACTGGGAGAACCCCGTCGTGTCCTCACAGTGAGTGACCCCTTCTCTGCCCACTACTCTATAGGAATTTGCAGCTTGAGCCCGAGCAAAGTCAGCTGCCTTGAGATGACCTCTGCCCCTCCTATCTCAGGGGAAGAGCTCGCCTCCTGGGCTCTTGTGTGTTTATCTGCATGTATGCTTGTGGTCTCTCTTGCATTACTTTTGTTTAGATGCTTTCTTTTATGTGTGGTAAAAATATTTTAATAATAGAAGAATAACTCAACATGTAATCCACCATACAGCCAAATCTCGTGTTTGGCTTGCTTGCTAGAGTTTGTCATATGCATCTAATTTCGTTTCATAGTATACATTCAATTTTTCTTTTTTTTCTTCACTTATATTAAAGATGATTTTCGTTGTTGCTATATAGCCTTTGGAATTATTTATAATACCAGATTAATATAGATGGTGAATACAATTTATGGAGCCATTCTGTTACAGATTTAGTCAATTTCTCTTTTCATTACTGACTCTGGCGTAAACATTTTTGTGGATTTAGCTTTAATCTTTTGGAAAATTTTTCTTAAATTCAAGGATGAAACTACTGTATCAAACAGAAAGAATGTTTTTGAGGCTCTATAATGTGAATAATAGTGATAACTAATGTTTGTTGTCTTCACCTGGTGCCAGGCACTGCTCTCAACACTGCCTCTGTATTATCTCACTCTTCCTAGTAACTGTTGGTAGGCACTACTTCAGTCCATCTTACATGGGAAGGGAGCCATGCCTGGAGGACCAAGAGACTTCTCAGAATGAGAAGTGGCAGAGCTGGCTTCCAATCCCAGTCTGTCTTACTCTAGACTGCAGAGTGTAGACCTTGAGGGGTGATGGTGGTTGAACCAGTTTATGTGCCCCCAGCTGACACCACCTCGGCCTCACCAGCATCAGGTGTTCGCACAGGTGACTGGGCAGTAGTTCTCAGGCTTCATCGCCATTTTTGACTGGTTTGATGAGCGGGTCTTGTCGGTTTATTAATGTGTCCAGAGCTATGTCTCACCTGGACCCCTCTGTGGGTGTGCTCCAAACCCGTCTCCTGCTGCTGTTATGAATTTTTCTTTCTCTTTTTTTTTTTAAGATGGGATTTCACCATGATGGCCAGGCTGGTCTTGAACCCCTGACCTGAGGTGATTCACCCACCTCAGCCTCCCAAAGAGCTAGGATTACAGGCGTGAGCCACCGCGCCCGGCCATGAATTTCTAATCTTGTGGTTCTTCCGTCATCCAGGTTCTATGGGGCTCTTCTGGGCATGGTCTGCATGCTGTATCTGCTGCCGCTCTGCTGGGTCCTCACCCTTTTAAACAGCACGCTCTTTCTGGGGAATGTGGAGTTCTTCCGAGGTAAGCCCTGGAGGGCCTGACAGAGACAGGGCCCAGGCTGGCTCTGAGGGCTAGGCTAGGCTCCTCAGTTCTTCTGTCTCTATAGCTAATCATCAGCTTGCTGTGCTTCCATGAGGGTCAGCACCAGGCTAGGGTCCTCTCTCATGGGCTCTGAGATGTTAGATGAAGCTGGAATCTCACCAGGGAAGGCTGCTACTGTTGGGCTCCCATCTCCCTTCCCTCCCTTCCTAGGGCAGATGGATCACTGCTTACATGATATGATGGCTTCTGGAAGATGAGGGAAGGTTGTTTTCTCAAAGCTGCCACCCATCCCCTGGGGTGCAGCCACCTGGAGTTGCTGCCATGTCTCTGTGTGAGACCAGAGTTTCCGTCTGTCGTCTGGCTTCTAAAGTGCTGAGGCAGTCTGGAGAGGCCCTGAGTCACAGAGGCCTGAGTCTGTACATATGTTTGAGTGATTGCTGTATTTGTTTTCCTCCCTGTGGTAGAGTAATTAATTACAGAAGCCATGATTTATCAAGTACTTACTACATTTAATCTCTCTAGCAGTCTGGGGCAGGTGGTGGTTTCTAAGTTTTGTTTAAGAGGCTTGGGTTAGGTGACTTGCTCAGAGTTAGGAGGGTGACTCTTTCCTGCAGCGGAGGGAAGAGAGGCCAGCCAGCTGCAGAAGTGGGCACCCCCAAAGTGCCACTCATGGTGTCTCATTTTTGCCTCCTACCCTTTTTCTTCATTCCCTGGGTAGTTGTGTCTGAGTATAGGGCATCTCTGCAGCGGCGGATGAACCCCAAGCAGGAAGAGCATGCCTTTGAGAGCCCTCCACCACCAGATTTTGGGGGGAAGGGTGGTCTGATGGACAGCACGCCTGCCCTCACACCCACGGAGGTAGGTGTCACTGACTGTCAGGGCACAGCCTGCTGTGGCAGCTTGTGGGCCCCCCTGTTATTAGCTTGTTTATAGCTCCTGGGCTGGCCTCTGTTGTAGTTCCTGCTGTTTCCCAGGCCTAATCTCCCTTGAAGTGCTTAATAATGATAACTGTAATAAGAACAGTTACCCATGCTTCATTGAGTGCCTACCCTGTGTCAGATGCCATTCTAAGTGCTTTATAGATAGATATTCACATCATAGAGTGTAGATTTTTTTCTTTTTTCTTTCTTTTTTTTTTTTTTGAGTCAGTATCTCCATCTGTCACCCAGGCTAGAGTGCAGTGGGGCAGTCACGGCTCACTGTAACCTTCACCCCCTGGGCTCAGGCATTTCTACCTCAGCCTCCTGGGTAGTTGGGACTGCCGGTGTGTGCCACCACGTGCAGCTAATTTTTTTGCATTTTTAGTGGAGATGGGGTTTTGCCACATTGTCCAGGCTGATCTCAAACTCCTGGGCTCAAATGATGGGCCTGCCTCGGCCTCCCAAAGTGCTGAGATTACAGGTGTGAGCCACTGTGCCAGGCTGGTTATTTCTGAGAAAGAGACCATTCTCATTTGTAGAATAGAAGGCTGAGGCACAGAGAGGCTAGTAAGTGGCAGGGCTGGGTCTAAGACCCCAACCCTGTGGTTCTAGAGCTTCTGCCCCCAACCACTGTGAGGTATGGCCACTGTAGAGCCCACTGTGCTCTTGTTTCCATCTCCCCTGCCCTGCCAGGCTAGAGGTTGCTCCTTCCTGTGGTTTCCTTTTTTGTAGTTGTGCCATTTCCTGGTGTTTTGGGTAGCTTGGATGCTGGCTTGGGGAGCTGGTCCTCTTTCTTAGGGAGCAGTGCTGCCATCCTTCTCCTTCTGTCATAGAGTCTTTCTTCCCAGGACCTCACACCGGGCAGCGTGGAGGAAGCCGAGGAGGCTGAGCCAGATGAAGAGTTTAAAGATGCAATTGAGGTGGGTGGCCCCTCCCCAGCATCCTCTACTGAGCAGGCCAGAAATTGGGTGGTCCTGTAACTGTTTTTTTTTTTTTTTTTTTAATTTTATTTTTAATGTCCACATGAGAAGCTAAAACTTGCTGTGAGCTAGAACTCACTGTTTGAAAGGGTGCCACTGAACCCCTCCCTAGGGGCTCCTGTTTCTGGTTGAGCCAGCTATCCTGTGTTCCCAGGGCAAGAGTGGCTCTGGAAGTCTCTGGGAAATGCCCTGCTGGGGGAGCTGGATGACTTGTAGCCCTTGCTGGAGACCATGGGTTTGGTGCCTTTGATGTCAGAAAGGCAGTCTTTGAGGAGGCTACTGCCCTGGGTCTCTGCTCTTCTGCAGAATGAGTTCCCTAAGATGTCCCTTTACAGGGCGGGGAGGGGAGGCTGGAGAAAATAGTTGCATGGCCAAGTGCTAGGTCAGGGGAACCTAAACAGCCTTCTTGATTTTAGGATGGTAAATCAAACTGGGAGTTTGCAGAAGTGTTTTATTTGGCATGCAAAGTTTCAAAATAATTTTTTGAGCCAATGTTTAAATATGGGGAGATTTTTGTTAGAACTGCAGGTTTCCAGTTTCTCTGGTAGCCCTGAGTCTGCTGCAGTCAGTATAGCTGAGGAGCTCCTGTTCCCTTTAGCAGGTCACATGTGGCTACAGGTGGTCCTCAATACCCCTGCTGTGTTTTATCACTGAGGTCAGGTTGTGGTTGCCATTTGTCACATTTGTATTTTTGTTTTTCTTAGAGCAGGATATCGTTTCTCTTAATTTATTTCTCTTTGTAAAGTGGGAAATTGAGATAAAAGAAATACACCTTGTGGATTTCCACCAGGCCTGTGATTTACCCCAACTCACCTCAATCATACGTCAGCCCAGGCCATGCAGGCATTTGACTTTTTGGTGGCTGAAAGAGTGCTCTAAAACTTTGATTCGTGATTGTAGACTGTGAATCTTGGTGGGGGGATATGTAGAGCGGGAATTTCAGCATTTTTGGCTGTGACCCATAGTAAGGAACACATTTTACCTCTTAACCCAGTTCACACTTAGGTCCATAAAATATGTAAAGCTTAAGGGAAACGAAAGTTTCCTGAAAGTACATTGTAAGGGATATTATCTTTCCTTTTCTGTTCTATTCAAATAAAGACCCACTAAATTAGTTTCACCCAGTTTGAGAAACAGTAGTACCCAGCTTTCTCCAGGGCTGTTTGATGCTGGGATCCTCTCAGGGGCATCTGTCAACATCACCATTTGGGAAGTATGCAGAGCTCAGAGCAGCGCTTCCATACTTCCTTCTGCTTGGGGGCTCCCTCCAGGCAGCTTCTTTCTTCTTGCTATCTTTTTTTCTCTGTTTTCTCTCCTCTTCCCCGCACCTTGGGAGGCAGGAGACCCACTTGGTGGTGCTGGTAAGTGGAAGCCTTGGTGGGTGGGCAGGGGCTGGGCTGGGGAGGGTGGCTGAGCTGGCTGCTGCCACACCTCATGGGGTCTGCTGTGCCGGGTGCCTGTGCACACGGGTCCTGCAGCCTCGCAAGAGGTGGGCAGGACTGGAAGGAGCTGTTCCCGTAGGAGGATGATGAGGGCGCCCCGTGCCCAGCAGAGGATGAGCTGGCCCTGCAGGACAACGGGTTCATGAGCAAGAATGAGGTGCTGCGCAGCAAGGTGTCTCGGCTCACGGAGCGGCTCCGCAAGCGCTACCCCACCAACAACTTCGGTGCGGCCAGGAGATGGGGCTGGGCTGGCAGGGGAGTGGGGTGGAGTACCCAGCCACAGGGGAAGGGTCTCAGAACTGGGGGTACTGACTTGTGACAAGAACAGGGGAATGAAGGTGTATCCATGGGACCCCGGGGCCCTGGCAGATGCCCGGCAGGACTGCTGAGGGAATGAGTGTGGGTTCCTTCTTGTCCCTCTGTTCTGATTGGATATTCACTTGTGGGAAGATGAGGAACTCAGTTTGAGAAATGCCATCCCGGGACTGCAGAGAGCTGTAATCCTGAGACAGAACCTCAGAAGGCAGTGTAGCATGATGGCTAAGAACAGAGTGGAATCTCACTGCCTGCTATAAATCCCAGCTCAGCCAGATACCCTTGAGCAAATGATGTCACACCCCTGTGCCTCAGTTTCCCCTTCTGTAAAAGGGGGATCATTGTTCTTACCTTATAGGGTTGTTACAGTTCTCATGTCAAATGAGACAGTAATGCTTATGAAGGGCTAGCACAGCACCTGGCTGGTTCATGGTGTGTAGTGGGTGCGGTTAATGTGGGAGGCCCTGGCCCACCCTGTGGGTTCCTAGGAGCCTGTCTTAGTCTTTATGATCCAGCTGGAAGCAAGTTGAAGCAGATTGTTTCTCTGGACATGATAGAGCCCTGAGTTCACTTCTCCCCAGTCAGTCCTTATTTTACTGAGGGTTGGGGGAAGAGCGGTTAAGGAAGGCAGCTTTGGAGAAGGGCAGACTTAATGGTTAGCACAGCTTGGAAACCTGGCTCAGATCAGCAGTGCTGGGAACTGAGCCACATACAATTATGGTGGGAACCTAGAGTAGCTGGTGACCCCAGAGCTGCCATGCTTCTGAGGAAGGGCCCTCCTGCCTGCTGTCAGTAGGGGGAGTAGGGGAGCAGGAGATTACTGTGTATTCTGGAGTGAAGTGAGTTCTAGGGTCTGTGCCTTGGAAGAAGCCGTAGGGTTTACCTTGAGGAATTTGACCTGGGGCCCACAGGGTCCTGCCTTCCTACCTCTGTAGCAGCCAGGCAGTTTTCTCAGGATTAGATGTCCTGGACAGAATCTTTCCTTCTGCATTGTGAATGTCCCCCAGTCATTCAAGATCCCTTCCTTTTTTTTTTTTGGTAGAGACAGGGTCTTACTTTGTTCTCCAGGCTGATCTTGAACTCCTGGAATTCAAGTGATCCTCATATCTTGGTCTTCCAAAGTGTTAGGATTACAGATGTGAGCCACCACGCCTGGCCCCTATTATTTATGCTGCTTGCTGACTTCTCTAGGGCATTCTTTATGTTCAGTGATCTCTACTCTCCATACTTCCACATGTGTGATCTCATTTCATCCTTACTGTAGGTGTGACAGGAGCAGGCAGTTCTTAAGGGCTCAGAGCAACCAGATTCCAGCAGTGCCCAGTAACACTACATAAGAAGTATTACTCTGGTCCAGCAAATAATTTATCTGTTTCTACAACTTCTAAGTAAAGGTACTTAGTTGTTCCCATTTTACAGATGAGTAACCTGAGGTGAAAAGAGTGCTTTGCCCAAAGACTTTAGTGGAGTTATGACTCAAATTCAGGTTCTCTGATTCGGCTCCTGTGTTCTTTCTGCCTCATCATCCTCCCTCTCTGTTTCCCTTTGCCCTGGTGTGTGAAGTCCCTTGTTTTATGCCTGTCCCGGTTTTGTATTTGGTTTTTGGTTTGGATAATCTCTGCCAGGATGGACAGAGGCCTTTTCAGGCTCCCTCAAGAATGGGAAGGGCAGAAAGTGCTTCTTTTCTCAAACCCCTCTTAGCTCCTCATCCTTCAAGACCTCTTGCTTCTCCCTTACCTGAGATGTTCCCAAGCTCTTTGCTGTGACGGTAGGTGTAGTAGCTCTGCCCCTGTGGCCTTTGCTCTTGGGTCTGGGTCCTGAGAGCAGGGTGAGGTGAGCTGCTTTGGGGGCTGTCTTACTTCATTTCAGCTGCTATAACAAAATACACTAAGCTGGGTGGCTTTTAAATAATAGAAATGTCTTATAGTTCTGGAGGCTGGAAGTCCAAGGTGGGGGTGTCAGCATGATTGGGTTCTGGTGAGGTCCATTTCCTGTGCCATAGACAGCGCCTTCTCACTGTATCCTCATGAGAAGATGGGAGGGCCACGGCAGTTACCTGGGGCCTCTTTTATAAGGGCACTAGTCCTATTGACGACGGCTCCACCCTCGTGACCCAGTCACCTCCCAGGGGCCCTGCTTTGGATGTTAGGATTCCACATTTGAATGTTGGGGAGCTCTACTGGGGGTTGTTCTGTTTACCCCTGCCAGTAGATGAGGGGGTACATGGGAGAATGAGGGCTGACTGTGCAGGAGCTTCTCTGTGGCCTCTGCGTGGGAGACGTCTTGGTGGGAAGCCCCCCTTTGTCTTGGAGGCTCCATGACTGTTGCCCTGGCAGGCCCCACTGGACCTTAGTGCCCCTGCTCTCATGGCCTCTGTGGCATCATCACGTGGTGAGTGAGGATGGATGAGTCCAGGCTGTTGCTGAGAAGGGGCAGAAAGGTTTGGTAGGTGTTGGAAGGGGACGTCACCTGGCTCAGCTGCTGTCAGCTCCCAGAGCCCTCCCTGGCTTTGGCCTGTGTGGGTTCACAGCTCTCTCACCAGACCACCTGGCTGCCCATGGGTGCTTGGCCCAGGCATTCCATTCAGTTCAGAGGGAGCCCTTGGGCATGGGCCAGTGTCAGTCTTTGAGTAGCTCCTTTTGCCTGTCCCATTCCCGTACGTCCCTTGTTAAGGAGAGGCTGGGGGAGGCTGCCTTCCCCCGATTCTTAGTGTAGGGACAGAATCTTGGAGCAGTTAGTTTCCTGGTTTGGCACCAGCAGCAGGCTTGTGCTTCTCTTTCCCTGGCTGACAGAGCGGGCGTTTACCTGAAGCACCTTGCCCTCAGGTTTCCCCTGGCTCTAGCTTGGGTCTTCTTTTCCCTGAACCCAGGGATCTCCTTTAGCAAGGACTTCAGGTGATTTTGGCTGGACAGAGGAAGGGACCACATGTAGCTGTCAATAAAACTTTGGGGCCTTTGTGAAAATGAGGCCTGGTGCTCTGTACCTGCCCACACAGGTGGTCTGGCTGGGTCACAGTAGGCCTTTGGGCCCCACATCCCAGAAAGCTCCTCCTTCCCCATCTTTCCTCTCTCCTCATACTCCCTTGTCATCTTCTAGCCATTTTCTAAGCTGCTATTGCCCCTCCACTGTTGCCTGGCACTTGGCCATCCTGGCATCTCTGGTGGTTTAGGCAAGACCTCGCCTTGCTCTGTGTCCCCCCATGCCATTTGCTGCTCCCCACAATTAAGCATTCTACCCTTCATGTCTTCTTGGAATGTGCCTGGCTCTGAGCTTCTCTCCTGCAGTCTAGAGACAGAAAGCAGGAGTTTGGGTTTTTAGGAGGCATTTCTGTCTTTACCCTGTGGGTGGAGTATTTGTAAGGCGTTGCTCGGGAAAGAGTCTTCTTAGGCAGGTTTCATTTGGGGATGCCTGTGATCAGGTCCCTGCCAGCCTAGCTGGCCTTCCGGGAGTGGATTCTGCTGGGTGCTCTCTGATTTCTGCAGCTAGGGCCACTAAGCTCTGGAGGCTTCAGGGGCTGGTAGCTGTGTATGGCTGGAGACATCAGTTCCCAGGGGCTATCAGTCTTCTTAGTTTGAGTCCTTCTTTCTGGCTCTGAATCTGGACTTGCTCCCTGGCTCACCGTCCAGCCAAGGAGGCTGGGCTGGTGTCCTGAGTGTCCCATTTAGAAGAACCTGGAGCAGGTGGGAGTCCCAGGATGGGTGAGGGCTGAGCTGCTGCCTCTGTTTCTCAGGGAACTGTACGGGCTGCTCAGCTACCTTCTCAGTGCTGAAGAAGAGGGTGAGTGTCTGAGGGTGCGTTTGTTGGGGACAATGTGCTTGGGACTGTCGGCTGGGGAGGAGTTGAGTCATGAAGTCTGACTCGGGTCACATTGGGCCTGGTGATGGCTTTCTGGAGTGAGCGTGCCCTCTCCTGCTCCTGTGCCACCTTCACCAGCCTCCCCAGGGGGTGTTCAAGTTGGTCTCTTTCTGGCTCCACTTGGGTGCCCCCCAGCCCCAGTTTCCTTGGGTGGGATCAGCTGGTGGAAAGGAGGGAGGTGCTGAGAACTCCAGGTGCCTGAGGGTGGGGGACACACCTGACCTCGGTTCTTGTCTGCAGCGAAGCTGCAGTAATTGTGGAAACAGCTTCTGCTCTCGATGCTGCTCCTTCAAAGTGCCCAAGTCCTCCATGGGGGCCACAGGTGAGTGGTGCATGTGGTGGGAGGGCTTGGCTGGTGCCCTGCCAAGGGGATGCCACATTGTGGCAAAGGGGCGAGGGTGTCAGAGATCAAGGGAACTTGGGATTGTAGTTAGGCCTGCAGGAACGGTTCCTGCATCCTCTTTAGCAAAATCTGGAAACATTTGGTACATGCCGAAGAATAGACATGATGCACCTGTGAATTCTGAAGGGTGATAACAAAATGAATACCTGTGACCGCTTCACTAAAGTTGAAAAACAAGAGCACTGGCAACACCCCTGCAGCTCCCAGCGCTGCTCCTGCCTTCCTGTAGTAAATCACCAGCCACAGTTTTCATCTTTTTCTTATAGCCTTGGCACTTCAAACAAAATTAAAAATTTATTTTTTTCTTTTATAAAAGCTATACATACATATTGTAAATAAAACAAAAAAACACAGATAGGCAAAAGGAAGAAAAATATTCCTGATTTCTTCCTGAGAGAACGATTGGGTGTGGACCCTGCTGCTCATTAGCTTGCATGTAGGAGAGAAGTATGTTCCTGAAAAATGTGGCCACATTTCATGTCCCGTTTTGTAATATAATATTAAACCAAGTGCTTTTTTCTTCTGATGCAAGTAACACCTGCTTACTAACTAGAAAATTTGGAAATTACTATACAGAAGAAGGAAGAGAAAAATAACCCTGTAATCTTACCACCCAGAGATAACCACTGTTAAAACATTTTGGGAAATTTTACTGTGATATTCTACTTATTTATTTTTTTTGAGATGGAGTCTTGCTCTGTCGCCCAGGCTGGAGTGCAGTGGTATGATCTTGGCTTACTGCAACTTCCGCTTCCTGGGTTCAAATGATTCTTGTGCTTCAGCCTCCTGAGTAGCTGGGATTACAGGCATGCACTACTATGCCTGGCTAATTTTGTATTTGATATTTTATTTAAAAAAGATTTTTTAAGGTGTTCTGTTGGTGCCACAGTAATGTCTCATTCATAGCCCAGGAGTGGACTGCTGTTGGCATCATCACCCCCAGGATCCCCAGTTCCTATGGAAAGGAGAGTCTCTGAGGGCAGGCTAGCAAGCTGGGCTGAGAAGGCGTGGGCTGGGCAGATCTGTGTGGGGCATTTGGGAGGGTGGTTCTAGTGGTTGTTGCCATGAACCAAAGGGCACAAGGAAATGTCTCGCCAAGTTCTTTCTCCTTTTCAGCCCCTGAAGCCCAGAGGGAGACTGTGTTTGTGTGCGCTTCCTGTAACCAGACGTTGAGCAAGTGAGAAGAGAAGCCAGGGTCCAATCAGGCACCCTCCCTTGGGGCCAGCAGTAGGCTCCCTACTCCCCACCCCAGCCCCCTGTGTTTTATGCTGGGCAAATGTGGTCTGAATGCTAGGTAGGCTTCCCCTTCCTTCCTTGTTCTCTCCAGCTGGCTTCTGGAGTTGTTCCCCACCCCTGAGAGTGGCTGGCAATGGCTGCTCTCAATCCCTTGGGGAGAGGAACCCCTGGAGTGCCTGGCATGTTTGCCCCGCTCTGCCTGGGACTGAGTGGACCGACTCAGGGCTGGGCAGGCAGTAGCCACTAGAGGGCAGCAGTGAGCTAGGCCAGGTCTGAGTGGAGTCTGATGAACAGGGTTAGTGTGGCCATGCCTGAGAATTCCAGACCTGAGGTTGGGAAAAGAGGTTCTTCTCCTGCAGGGTACTGGGTCAGGCCCTCAGCCTCAGAGAGCCTGCAGAAGTGCTTGGGAGTGCCACACCCCAACTCTGCTGATTAATGTCCCTTCAGGCACCAGGATCTGATTATTTCCCCATCAGAGGGTGTGGTCAGGGCTAACAAGACTGAGGGTGCATCTAGAAACAGAGTTGAAGTTCCCAGTTTCCCCCAGAGAAGAATGTGTATAGGAGCGTTGGCTGAGTCCTTCAGCGTTTAGTGGAAGAAAGCATGGGGAGGCTGCAGCAGCTGGATGGACCACAGCCTCCCCTCGGAAGACGCCTCGATTCACAGAATCTCAGCCCACACAATGCCCTAGTGTCCCCAGCTCCACTGAAGCAGCTGCAGGGCACTTGGTTCACCTCTTCTGCTCCCTCTGCCCAGAGTCTGGGGCAGCCCTCCACTGGCCCAGCACTCTATCTTCCTTTCCCTGCCCCTTGCCCCATGGAGTGTGAGGTCAGGTGAGTGGAGCTGAGGTCCTGAAGTCGTTTGCCCCCCAGGGACCTGGGAAGTGTAGAATCTCGCTGGGCTGGGCCCTGGATCCCGGGGCTGTTCCCTGGAGGACAGTCTCAGTTAGGGATTAGGCCCCTTGGGGTCTCCATTTTCTTTCCAACAATTTCATGTTCACTGCTGGACTCTTACGGGCTCAGTGTCTCTCCCTTAGCCATGAGCTGGCTCAGGCATCCCTTCCCTTCCCTGGAGCTGCCCTGCCTTTCTGAAATATTTATTTATTTATTGCATGGTTCCTGGGAACATGTAGCACAAGGAATGGGAGGAGGAGGACTGTGGTGGGGGTGTCTCTCCTACCTAGGACTCTTCCCTGAAGTCCTGGGCTGCCTCGAACCCAGGACCCATGGGTGGCTGAGAGGTTTCTACACTCGAGGAGCGGGGTCCAAAGAGGCAGGTTGGGGAGACAAGGGACCCATCCTAGGCCTGCTTTCTTGCCAGTCCAAGCAGTTTAGCTGGGGCTCTGCAGTCAGGGGCCTGCCCAAGCCAGTGGACGTGTCAGAGTCCTGGGGAGCCAGTCAGGCCTTGTTATTGCCTCTGTGTCCTGTTAAGAGATGAGAGTTCAGTACCCTTTACTGAACTTTGCTTTCTTTACACTGGAGAGGAACTAAAAGGATCTTTGTGTCTATGGAGAATTGTCATTAAAAAGGCCTCAAGCTTCTTAACTTTTTGTCCTGTCTTTGTTTTGGCATTTTCCCAAGGCTGGAAGACCAGATCTCCCTGGCACCGCTGGAGTTTGCAGGCCTGGGCAAGGCCTGCAGGACTGGGCTGAGGGGCGGGCCTTTGGGGCACCCTGGTGGCGGGGGCGTGGGGGCTGCAGCCTGGTCTGGGTGTGAGCTGGGGGCTCAGAGGAGGAAAGCTGTGCCTTGCACGCAGGAGGGGCTCAGCATATGCCTGTCAGATTGACTTGAGGCCCAGTCTTGTGACCAAACTCTGAGGGCCCAGCACTGGGGGTAGGTGTTGGACTAGAACCTGGTAAACTCTAAACAATGCAGGCTTTAGAATGGAAAGATTTTAACTAATCCCCCCTGAGAAAGCCAGAAAGGGTCAGCCTTCAGGGAGGCCAAGAGTGGCAGGAAAGAGGATTGGCTGTGAGATGCAAAGTACACGCCATGCCGTGAGCTGGGGCAGGTGGGTGGTGGCTGGGTGCTGGGCACTGGTAAGGGCTTTGTGTACAGTACTCTCACTGCTCGAAACAACTCTGAGGTAGGCACTATTTCCCCAAAGTAGAAGCAAAGTCCCTCAGCAGTAGAGGATGGCGCCTACTGTGGGCTGGCTCCATGCTTGGCCCCCTTTAACATCTGTTGGAGCAGTGCTGGGGCCCATTGACATAGGGCACTGCCTGCAGGCTCGCCATGCTTTCCTCCTCTGTAAAGTGCACCTGCTGGTGATGCCTCACTTGTGTGGGTGCTGTGAGGGAGAAATGAGAGTCTGCAGGAGGCATGGGGCACAGTGCCTGGCATACAGGATGTGCTAGCTCCTGTCATCCTGGCCACCTTCAGAGGACAAACAGGTCTGTCCTGGGTGGCTTAGGACGGATATTTTTTTTTTAACCAGATAATTTTAGATTATTCTTCAGAGAATATCAGAGAGGCACAAGTGTAATTTGGAAAAGCAGAGTCAATACATTTTATTTTTGGAAAATGAAAACGCCAAATGGTGGTGAAATCTCAACCATAACAGCAGTAACTTGAAACCTGTGTGTGCAGGCATGGATTACAGAGATGGGAGAAACATGAGTTTCCATCTTTGGGCCAGCAGCCTCAGAGAAGGGGAAGCTAGAGGGCCTTGTCCCCTCGAGGTACCCCTGAGAATAGGCAGGGTACATAAGTTTAAATTGCAGGTGCCACTGGGAAGCAAAGTCCTGGAGGGATTGTGCTTTACAACTGGCTGCATCCACAGCATGGAGAGGACCTGCATGTGGGTGGCCTGGAAGATAAACTGTCCATGTTTAAAAAGAAAATTGTTCTCAGGCCCCTGAGGAGGGGATTGAGAACCAGACTCTGCTGTAGCCCTGGTGCTCGCTGGAGCAGGCCTGGGGCTCCAGCTCCCACAGCCTGGTGTGGGCTCAGGGCTTTGCCAACCCTTTCTGTGGCTGGTTGTGTTGAGCAGCCTCCCGTGAGCCCTGGCCGACCTTGAACTGGCAGTGGTTCCTGGGATCTTCAGGATTTTCGGCCCTTGTGTCTGAAGCCACCTGAAGTTCTGTTTTTACCCCCTTGTCTCCCTGAAACCTTCAAGGCACCCCCTAAGAGAGGCCCTGGCCCAGCATCCGTCTTACAGCTGGTGGCCCTCAAGAAAATCCCTACTTTGATGGAGCACCTGTGCCAGGTACCATGCTGAGTGCATCATATTGAGACCTCGTGGCAGTCCCCAAAAGTAGGTTCTATTGTTAGCTCTGTTTAACTGATGAGTAAATGGAGGCATCGGGAGGTTAGGGAGCCTGCGTAAGGTCACACAGCTAGTAAGCTGTGGAGCTGGGATGTGAATTGTGCCACCTGTGCTTGTAGAGGCCTTATAAAAGAACCTTATAAGAGGAACAGAGCAATCCTGGGTGCTGCCCTCCCCTCTATCTGTCTGGCCCCCACTGGCTCTAGGAGCTAGCCACTGGGCTAACAAGAGGGCCTGCCCACTAAGCACAGCCCCTCCTCTCCTCCCTCCCACCCCCAGCCCTAGCGAAGTGGACTCAGCCTCAAGAACAGAGGCAGCCTTGTGGCTGGAGCTCCCCCATCTCCCAGCCACCCCACCTCCAGGCTGCCTGGGTATGTTTCAACACCCCAGAGCAGCACATTCCATTCTCTGGCACAGCTGGGGGCTGGAGATTCCGTATTCCCCTGGCTGCCTGCTTTCTTCACAGCTCCAGCACAGCCTGCTGTCTGGGCTGGGACACAGGGTCCCAGCCACACACATTCCAGCAGTAACCACCCCCCACATTACATTTCCCCAGGAGTGAACTTCAGCCAGGATTACAGGCGACTAAACAGTTGTGGGATGTGGGCTTCCTTTGTGGAGACCTAAGGCTGGATGCTGGCAGGGCTGGGAAGGGAGAAGAGGTTGGGGGTGGGCTGTCTTTGGGAGTTAGGAGAAAAGCCGCTGGCTCTTCTGCTACTGTCAGGATCCTTGGAGTGGGATTGAAGCAGGGCTCCCAGAAATCTTCCTGTGAGACAGGCTGGCAGAAGCATGGCTGCCTGCACCCCCCGGCCTTGGCTTTGTCCCTGCAGACAGTAGTATAATGGTTAAGAGCATGAGGTCAAAATCTAGCACTGCCATGTGCAAGCTGTGTTATCTCCAACAAGTTCCTTAACCTCTCTGAGCCTCAGCCACCATCACTGAAATGCCACTACCTCAAAGGGTTGTTGGGAGGCTTAAATTAGAATGCAAAAGTGGGGTGAGGCACAGTGGCTCATGCCTGTAGTCCCAGCACTTTGGGAGGCCAAGGAGGAAGGATTGCTTGTGTCCAGGAGTTTGAGAGCAGCCTGGGCAACATAATGGGAGACTTCACCTCTACAAAAATAAGAAATTAGCCACATGTAGTGGCATGCTCCTGTGGTCCCAGCTACTTGGGAGGCTAAGGTGGGAGGATTGCTTGAGCCCAGCAGGTTGAGGCTGCAGTGAGCCATGCTCATAATACTGTGTTTAACCTGGGCAACAGAGTGAGATTCTGTCTCAAAAAATAATCATAGAATATAGAAGGGTTTGTTTGTTTTTTGAGGTGGAGTCTTGCTTTTGCGGCCCATGCTGGAGTGCAGTGGTACAATCTCGGCTCACTGCAACCTCCGCCTCCCGGGTTCAAGTGATTCTCCTGCCTCAGCCTCCTGAGTAGTTGAGATTATTGGCGCCTGCCACCACGCATGGGTAATTTTTGTATTTTTAGTAGTTTCACTATGTTGGCCATGCTGGTCTTGAACTCCTGACCTTGTGATTTGCCTACCTCAGTCTCCCAAAGTGCTGGGATTACAGGTGTGAGCCATTGCACCTGGCAAAAGTGTTTTGAGTAGTGCCTGCCACCCATCATGGCCTTGATATTTATTGATTACCAGTATTCGAGGAATATTTGTAATCTCTTCAATATTGGCTTACACCACCATCTGTATTTTTGAAGCAAAACCCCAAATGTAGGTTCTAGCTCTCTTTTGAAGTAGTGTTCTGGCTTTTAGATAAGAAACTCTTGTCTTTTCCCTGCCTTCCTGCCAGTATTGTTTCTTAGTTGATTAATGAATCAGTTAGGAATTTTGTTGAGCACCTGCTATGGACAGGCACAACTAGGTCAAGGCTTTGGTTAATAAAAATCCTCATTGCCATTTATTGGACATCTACATGCTGTGCCCACTTAATGCTCAGCAACCCTGTGAAGTAGACATTTTTACTCCATTTTACAGCTGGGCACTATCCCGATGTCACACAGTCACTAAGTCACAGGATTAGAAGCCAGGACTGGACTGTACCTGCCTCTTCTCACCCCAACCTGGAGTGTTCAGCTGGCTACTCCCCAGTCCTTCCTGTCTTCTATTAGAACTCTGATTTTGTCCCCAGCTGAAAAAGCTTGACTTCCTCTGCTCTCTTGCAGCTCGGGGTGGCCATGTGACTTAGTTTTGGCCAGTGAGCTAGAAGTGGAAATCTACAGGGTGGATTGCTGGGGAAATTGCTGTTTCCCTGATCAAAGGGGTCACAGGCAGCTGACAAGCTGTGCTCCTCGCCCTTCCCTGCCTTGCTGTCTGGAATGTGGTGGAGAAGTTGGAAGGAGGCATCGTTTATAACCACGAGAATGAATGTTGTCCCATGGAAGGGCAGGACGCAGGAGCTGGACATAGACTTCCCACCTGTCCACCTCCAGCCCTGTTGTGTGGAGAAGCTGGGGTTTTGGTTCCTGGGATTTCTGTTCTGTGCCGCTGGGGGCTCCATCGTTCAGTGCACCTAGGTGCTCTCCGGGCAGCATAGCTGCTGGATTTCCAGCCAGTGGGTGGGAGCCTTGTGTGACTGAAGGAAATGAAGGGTAGGGCTCAGGCCTGGAAGGACCTCCCTGGTCTTTGAGAAGATTCTTTTTGATCCCAGAAAAGAGATTCCTGGTGGGTCTAACAGCAGATGTTGGGGGACAGCAGATGTTTCAAGCTGGGCCCTGACCCCTTGTGTGGGTAGAGGATTGGCTTCCTGGGCTTCACAGGATGGGCTAAGGGAGCCTTCCCCTCGCCCCACTGCCCCACGGCTGCCAGCATCTGGCAGATGTCAGCACAGTACTTCAGCCAGGGCAGGCCCGTCCTGTGTGTCCCATGGAAAAATCATCCCAGGTCCTGGTTGACCACAGAAGTGTCCATAAACATTTGGTCAGGGTAGGAGGCTGGGAGACAAGGGGCAGATTCAGGGAGCCAGGTGCGCTGGCAGGGTTTGGGCGTGGGTGAGTGAGGGAGGAACAAGGCAGCCTGTGCAGCCACTGACCTGCGGTGGGGCCACTTGCCTGCCCAGGGTGATTTATGGGTGCGCTGCCGGACCACCTGCTGGCCAGAACTTAGGGGAGTGCACATGCGTTGCCCACAGCAGAACACAGCCCATGGCCCCTTTGGGGTCATTTCCCTGGGGTGGCGCGTGCCTCTGAGAGTGAAAGTCGAGGCTTTCCTCAGCTCCAGAATGAGGCTCCTTTGTCTTGGAGGAACCGCAGGACTTGACTGGACTTGGCATCCCAGCTTTACCCCCACTGGTGGGGAGAGCCCCTCAGGGGGTGCCCCTAGCCTCCTGCTCTGGGTACATCTGGCATGTGCTGACAGACCCCCCAGGGAGATCCTTCCCGGCACTGCCCTCTCCACAGGCTGCCCATTAGAGTGGGAGTGGCTTCTTGCCTTCATCTCAAGCATTCTCCCCCTACCCCAGCCATCCACCTCAAGGCAGCAGCCTCCATCTGCTCTGAGCCCACTGGGGCACCCCCTCAGCCCCTTGCCCTCTCTTTGTCTCAGTTGTCACCTTATTTAGATAGTAGTTCTCAATTCTGGCTGCACATCACCCCAGGGGACATCTAAAAACACCAACTCCCAGTCACCCTACAGAGATTCTGATTTAATTGCATTAGAGTAGGGCCCAGGATTCTGTAAAGGATCCCTAGATGATTCTAACGTTTATGTGTTAAAATGCAGGGATATACCAGGTCTGCGTTTCTTTGCTGCTGTTGAGTCAGAGTCTCACTATGTTGCCCAGGCTGGTCTTGAACTCTTGGGCTTAAGAGATCCTCCCACCTCAGCCTCCCAAAGTACTAAGATTACTGGCATGAACCAGTGCGCCCCTGGCCAGATGCTGCCTTTCTAACCAGCTCCCAGGTGATGCTCATGCTGCTGGACCAGGGACAGGTAAGGAACAGTGCCTGCGGTGTGTGAAAGCCGGAGGGGTGGAGTGACTCGTCTTTTGACCTCAGGCTTTTCAGGGTAGTTCCCTGTGGCCCCGCCTTATTGGAGTCCTCTGATTAGGCCCTGGTTTCATGGGGGAGCTGCTGTGGGACCATGGAATCTTCTTACTGTGGGAGAAAGCTGGGGAACTTGGCACCTCCATTCCTCTTCAGGGACAAAATAACGGCCATCTCCATCCCTCACTTAGCAGTCAGAATGGCAGGATGACCCTTGCTATGTACTACAAAACACAGGCCTTGCTTTTTTTAGGCATTCCAAGGAGGTCTGTGTGGCCAGGCCATGGGTTCAGACAACGCCTTCTTTCTGGAAGGTCCGTTCTAAACCTCCCTCTCCCCACTCTTGGCAACCAGCTGACAAAGAAACCACCCGGTCCAAACCAATGATTGTTTTCCTTGATTTAATTAAGAAGTAAAAAAAGATTAGAAAATTCAACCCTGCAAGTATTGGTTGTCTAGTACCTATGTCTTCACAGCAGTAGCAATAACTTATCATCAGGATGAAAGGGAGATGCGGAGGCTGAGGAGTGAACCCCGGGACGTGGGCCTGCAGGTGTCCAGGAAAGGGGTATGCACCAAGGGTGGGCTGGGCTTGCTTTCCAGTCCAGGGAGAGCTCTCTGCCTTGGGGCAGGGACATGGGCAAGCTGGGGAAGGCAGAGGGTGTGGCTGGAGGCATTGAGACCCTAACTCGTTTCCTTTGGGGGCTAGGATGATACATACAGGGGCAATGGGGAGAACTGTCTCCCCAGCAGCTTAGCCTAATATTGAGATTTCCCTCTTCAAGGTGAGGCCCTACCCTGACAGAGGGGAGCTGACATCACCATCTACTCTGAAACCTCCCACACAGGGTGCCCCGTGACCCTCCACCCTTTCCTCATCCTCTCCTCCCCTGCCTACTTTCTTAGACCCTGGGGTCTTCCCCCAGATGAAGACACCCTGCTCCTGAGAGAGGAAGCCAACATCCCAGGGACCTCAGGACCCCCAGACAAAAAGGACAGCCTGGGCTCCCTGCCCATCTCTTGGGGCCTGTGCCAGTAACAACACTCACAGAAACACCCTCTGGCAGGGCTGGGTCAGCCTGGAAGTTGGGGCGGGGCCAGAGGGCAAAGCACAGCTGGCAGGGCAGGGAGGAGTGCCCTTCAGTGGGGCTCTGCAGCCCCATAGAAGAAAGGGTAGTAGAGGGAGCAGGGGTAGGAGAACATGAATTTGACCGCAAACTTCATCTCCTTATTCTTCTTGTCCCAGCGGTAGACGGCCATGAGCAGCAGCTGTCCATCCACTTTGCGGCCCATGACCAGGAAGCTGCCTGACAGACCGTCCAGCTGTGGGCAGGGGCAGCCTGCGCCGTTCTTCATGTGCAGCACCAGCCGCTTGGTGTCCTTGCGCTTCAGGGGGCCCGGCTTGAGCAGCTTCTTCTTTTTCTGGGCTCCAATCAACTTCCGGTCCCCATTCTCTATCTTAATTTCCTTGATGCGCATTTTGACCACTGTGGGAAGGAAGGACAGGGGCAGGTTGGGAATGGTCAGATCTGCATGGGATGCTGGTGGGCCCAGAGTTGGTGTGTTCTGGACCTTCAGCTTGGGGAGCCAGATGCTCTGCGGGGCTTGGAAGGGAGGAGCTTGTATGTGCACATTTTCATATTTAGGAAGGACCTGTCGTGCTGTACTCTCACGGACAGTATCATGTTTCAACCTTAAGGTACAGGAGAGGGGAAATGAGGGCTAGAGAGCTTGTGACCTGCCTGAATTGAGAGCCCAGGCCCTTCCGAGACATCAAATGCAGGGTGGAGAGCTCTTGATGGAGCTCCATCTGCGGCCAGAGCAACTGGGCTCCCCGGGGTGGGGATGGGGAGTGGATGGGAGTGGGACTCACTGCTTGGAAAGGGGTCCTTGTGATGGAGGGAGACTGGACTTCCTGATCGCTGGGGATGATTCCCATTGGATTTCTGGCTGTGTGTGAGTGTATGGTATGGGGTATATGTGGGGTGTGTATATGTGTATTCTGTGTGGTGGGAGCGGTGCTGGGCTGGCAGATATTTAACAGCTGACTCTGTGGATGAGGGGCCCTGCTTTGCATTTGTGGACATCCGTGGGGTAAATCCTCCCACCATGACTGACCGCATGACTGGGCGTGGAGCTGGGGATACACGCAGTTCAGCTCTTGCTGGTGTGAACACACCACTGTACAGTAATGTTTATGTGTGTGTGAGAGAGGCTGTACGGTGGGCGGGAGTGTGTGTGAGGTGTGGTTCTGTGGATGAGTGTTCGTGGTATGTATAGGAGCGGGGATGAAGGAGGTGGATGAAAACAGAGTCTGCGGCCAGAGAGCCACTGTAGATGTAGAGAGCCTAAGGAGTCCTGGGCCTCAGGGTGGAGTGGGGCGTCCCTCAGGCTGGTCTCTCCCTTCTTCAGGCTTCTGGGCCCCCATCTCTGAGGGATCAGGGAGAAGACAGAGAATAATTCTGTCCACTCTGGGCAGGAAATTGTCATAAAATCTCATTCCTTCTCCTTAAGTCTTTTTTTCTCTCTCTGACACACACACACACACACACACACACACACACACACACACACACACCTTGCAATAGCAGTATTCTCTTTCCAAACAGGCTACCAACATAAAAGACTCCTCTGAAGAAAGGACTTCATTACTGTCTCCTTTTCTCTTTTTTATAGACAGGGAGGCTAAGACACAAAACAGGTAACTGACTTGGCAAAGACCACACTGGACTGTGGGGCCTATGAGTGAGCCAGGTCCTGACTGGACTTGGATGGGAAGGCTCTGGGATGAAGTTTTGGGAACAGGTGACCACAGCTCCTCTGGCAGGAGGTATGCTGAGTCCCAGGTGGAAGTACCAGGGACAGGGTGCTCCACTTCCATCCTGGAGCCCTCACTCCCCAACTGCCTCCCTCCATCTCTGCGCTAAGCCTGCATCATCCACAGAGATGATCCAGCCATGGAGGCCCCTCTGAAGATGACACCAAGGGAGGGCTGCGGGAGCTCTGGCTGGGGTGGTTTCTGAGGCTCAGGGCCCATGACCTTGAGGGACTCTGAAGGTCCTGAGATGATGCAGAAAGAGGTGCCTTTCTCTTGGGAGAGGGTTTATAGTTATCACTGGATTCTAAACGGGACCCCTGATGCAAAAACTATTGGGACTTACTGTGATGGATGTGGGCACGTATGTTCCCATGTGTGTAGAAAGAGGGGTTGGGAGTGGTGCTGGGGCAGTGGCTGTGTGGGCCCCACACTCACCGAAGTCACTGGAGCACATCTGCTCCATGAGGCCGTCGGCGCTGTGCTCCATCTCACACTGGGCACAGATCTTGGTCACTGAAGAGAGAAAGTTGGTGAGGAGATTAGAGTTCCAGAGCTACTCAGGGTGCAGGCTTCCTCACTGTCCAGCCACTTCCCTCTGCCAAGCCTCTACTTCCTTATCAAGAAATGGGATGATGGCAGTCATATCACCACCTGCTCACAGAGTGATTGATCATCACGAGATAAGCTGTGCAGGGACCAAACTGCCAGGTGGGCACAGTGACTGCCCCATGACCCTGGTGGCTGCAGCCATGGTGTGCAATGTCTTAAATTTTATCTCCTCTCATCCTCAGCCTAAGAAGTAGGGATTCTTTTTCATATATATATATTGGAGATGGGGTCTCACTCTGTCACCCAGGCTGGCGTGCAGTGACTCTCCAATCTTGGCTCACTGTAACCTCTGCCTCCCCAGTTCAAGTGATTCTTCTGCCTCAGCCGCCCCGGATTCCAGGCATGTGCCACTACACCCAGCTAATTTTTGTATTTTGTATTTTTAGTGTTAGCCAGGCTGGTCTAGAACTCCTGACTTAAAGTGATTCACCCACCTTGGCCTCCCAAAGTACTGTGGTTACAGGCATTGGCCACTGCACCTGGCCCTTATTCCTGTTTTGGAGGAAAGGGAACTGAGGCCCAGAGGGGTTATTCAAGTCTGGCAGCAGACAGGGTGGGAGGGGGAGAGGGCATGGAGCCAGCCTGGAAGAGCTGCGTGAACCAGCACAGCAAAGGGGAGGCTGAGGCCAGGGAGAAATTAGGGTTCAGGGGCCTGAGGGTGTGGGTGGGAGGAGGGACTTAGGATCTCATAGGTTTTATGAACCTGGGATGGCTTTCTATTTTATGGATGGGGAAACTGAGGCTCAGTGAAATCAAGCGGCTTGCCTAAGGGCTTTTTTTTTTTAGAAGCAGAGCCTAATCTGCTCTTCCTTGTGCGCTGAGCCTCATCCAAATGACTTCCAGCCAGGGGAACTAGGGAAGAGGGTGGAGAGCTTAGGGTTCCAGGTACAGAAAACGGGAAGGCAGACCATAGCGCAGGAACATTCTTAGCTCCTAGTCTTTCCCCACATTCCTTCCCTCACCTTTCCTCTCTTCTCAAGGTCCCAACATGGGGTGGGGGTGATGCTTGCTTTAAATTCCTGGGGATCCAGGTGAAAGGCACTGTTTAACCACCCCAGGCATTCTTGGGCTGAAAGGGGCCATAAGGCATTTATCAGGACATCCCAGGTTGGGGGCACGGCACTGGGGGATTCTCAGCAGCTTGTTTGGGTGGGCACTTCGAGGGGTGCCAGGGGTATTCAGGGAGAGAGAGAGGGAGGGAAGGTCCAGACCGCAGGGAGGCACTACGCTGCCACTCCCTGGGGAGGTGGGAAGGCCGGAAGGCTGCGGGGGATAATTCCAGGGGCGCCGGGTTGAGCTAGGACAGCGTGTGTGTGTGTGTGTGTGTGTGTGTGTGTGTGTGTGTGGTGCGGGGGGCGGGGGGGAGCTGCACCTCTTGGGGGTTTCGCAGAGCTTTGCTAACCGGCTAGGGGAGCGGAGGGCCGTCGGAGCGCGCGGAAACGGCGGCAGAGGCGCTACCTGGAGGCGCGGTGGCGGGCAGGTGCCCGAACTGCACTGCGATGCAGAGGTCGTTGTCCAGGGGGAACTTGTGGCAGTGCAGCATCTCAGGCCAGGGGAAGCCGTAGGCCTCCATGAGCGGCGCGCAGCCTGCGCGCACCGCCTCGCACAGCGAGCGGCACGGGTAGATGGGCCGGTCGAGGCAGACGGGCGCGAAGAGCGAGCACAGGAAGACCTGCGTGTCCGAGTGGCAGCGCTTGGCCAGCAGCGGCAGCCAGCTGCTCGCCTGCTGCTTCACCTCGGCCAGGCTCTCGTGCTCCAGCAGGTTGGGCAGCCGCATGCGCTTGTAGCCCACCGTGTGGCAGAGCGGCAGGTCGGCGGGGATGTCGAGGCACTGAGGCGGCTTGGAGTAGGAGCGGCCGTGCAGCGGCTCGGCCTGCCAGCCGTAGTAGTCGTACTCCTCGCCGCGCGCCGGCGCCCAGCGCAGCGCCCCCAGCAGCAGCGCCAGCGCGGCGGTCCGCGCGCCCCCAGCCGCCGCCCGCATGGCTGCGCCCTCTCCAGGCGCGCGCCGCGCAACACCCCGACGCTCGGTGCGCGGCGGCCCAGGTGCCCAGGCGTACGCCCCCAGTTCCGACGCTCTCCAGCAGCCGCCGAGGAGGTCGCCCAGGTGGATGGCAGCCTGCGCTCGGCTCCGGGCGCCCCGACTGATCCTGGCGCCTCCCACCTCGGGGCTCCTGCCCAGGCCTCACCGAGCGCCCCAGCCAATCTCCGGCCGCCCGGCCCCCGCCCAGAGGCGGGGAGGCAGGGAGAGGCCCCTCGGCCCCTCCCGCCCCATGCCCGCGCGTCCCGCCCAGCGCCGGGTCTTGCGCCCCTCTCCCGGCTAGGCTCCCCTACCGCGGCTCTGGCCTCGCCTAGCGCTTCTCCCTGGGGCTCCCTGCCTCCCTGGGCATTTTCCTCACCCCATCACCTACTCCATCCTTCCTCCTTATCTCTCTCCACCACAGCCTCTCCTGTGCCTTTTCTCACTTCACTTGCTTATCTCTCTGCCTCGGCCTTTCTCCCTCCGCTCTGTTTTCTCTTCTCCGACACCTCGGTCCATCTTCTCCCTGGTGGGAGGCTCCTGCCGCCCCACACCCTCCTGGATCTTCTGGTCCTCCGGGCAGGCCTTCATTTAGCTTGGTGCCAGGCCCCGTGCTCGCTGCTGGGGAATCGAAGATGGGTATGACCCAGAACCCACCTCCAGGTCCAGGATAGTTTAGTGGGGGTGAAGGTAACCACAGGTTCTATTTAGTGAGGTCTTACTACCTGCCAGGGACGGTGCAAGGTACTTTCCAAGCTTATCAGCTATTACGAATGAAAGCCAATACTCGGTGGGTGCTAATTGTCTGCCCAGTCTGATCTAAGCACATTGCATGAACTCCCTCAGCTACTTTTCACAATAATGCTGGATGGTGGGTAGGTACTATTACTGTTCCCACCTTATAGATAAAGATCCTGTGTCACAGAGGTTAAGCACGGATTAGAGCCGGGATTTTAACCCAGATAGTCTGGTTCTAGAGTCAGAGCCCAGAAACAGCCAGGAGGCCTGGATTCTGAGTCTGTAGGCCTAGTGACCAAGCAGATGGGGAGTTCGGAGAGGTGGAGTAACTGGCCATTGGCCACACAGCTCTATGTGAAGGAGATAGGATTTGAATCCAGGTGTTGGGCTCCAAAGGCCAGGGCTTACCCACTCTGTGGTAAGATAACTTCCAGCCCATGGCAGGGAATTTGGTGGGGGGAGAAGGAATTGATGGTGTCTCTGAGTGGGGCACCCAGGCAAGCATCAGCGGGGAGGGGACCTTCAGGAGCCCATGCTTGGTGCCTTTCTCTCCTGTCTGAGTCCTGCCTTTCACTGGAGTTCCCTTGAGAGGAATTTGGACTGAAGGCTTGAAGGGAGGGGAATTCCTTCCTGAGAGCCTAGCCTGACACCTGACCTCTCAGCGTTTGATGGGGAAGGTACCCTGGGGAGGTGTCTCCTAGAAGGGCTTGGGAAGATGGGGGCTGGCTCTGCTGGGAAGCAGGAATACTGGGGCACTTTCCCCCTCTACTCCTCTCCTTAGTCTCACTGACAGATATTTCCAGGGCGCCTGTCTTCCTCTGGGTCTGTCCTCACAGTGGTGGTGGAGAAGGGTGAGGGGCCACTCATTAATATTCATGGAAGACCCAAGGAGTGCATACTCTCTGCAAGGCATGGGGTAGGGTATGCATGGGGACACAGAGGTGCAAAAGACACGGGTGGCTCTCCTCCGTCTGATCTAGTTGTAAGAAAAAGACACAAGGCAGGCAGAGGAAGCAGGAGAAGCCTCAGCCACTGAGCCCCAGGGTGGGATGGGCTGTGTTTGATGTCCAGGATGATCTAGTGGGGTCCAGGTGGAGTAAGCTTGGGCCTTCCCTTCCCCTCTCCCTCTCCCAGCTCCCATCATGAAGAGGTTATGCAGATGGCTTCTCAGAAGGTGGAGGACAGGTCTCTGCAGGGTCAGGCAGTGCAGAGTAGCAATGGTGCGAGAGCCTGGGCTCTGGAGACAATGGAGCCAGCTTCAGATCTTGGCCACATACTAGCTGTATGACCTTGGCAGTTATTTAACCTGATTTCCTTCTTTGTAAAATGGAATTTCTTCAGCAGTTATTGTGAGGAGTAAATAAGGTGAATAAAAGGAAGGCCCCCTGCACAGTGCCAACACACAGAATGAACATGTAGGAATGCTAGATCCCCAAGGGATGTGTAACTTTGGCATAAAAATGTGGTGTGTGGGCTCGGTACAGTGACTCTTGCCTGTAAATCCCAGCGCTTTGAGAGGCTGAGGTGAGAGGATCGCTTGAGCCCAGGAGTTTGAAACCAGCATGGGCAACACAGCAAGATCCCATGTCTACAAAAAATAGAAAAGTTAGCTGGGTGTGGCGCATGCCTGTAATCCCAGCTACTCGGGAGGCTGAGGTGAGAGGATCCCTTTAGTTCAGGAGTTCGAGGTTATAGTGAGCTGTGATTGCACCACTGCATTCCACCTGGGCAACAGACCAAGACCCTGTCTCTTAAAAAAAGAAAGTGGTGTGTGTTCTGAATGCCCTTGGATGCCTTGGCTCTGCTCTGGTTTGGAGCTCTGAACAGCAGTTCTGCCCCCTGCACCCTGACTCTCCTACCCCTCCAGGCTTGGCAGGCTCCTGCCCTCCAGGGAAGGTGTGACCCTGGGCACTGGCGGGGGCGTTGGAGCCCCCAGGTGGTTGTACAAGGTGCTGGCTCCTTGGGCAGCTGGTCAGCTGTTCTTGGTGTCCCAGTGCCTGGTCTGGACAGAGCAGGGCTTTGTTCCTACTGTGCTTATGTAAGAACTTCACATGGCTGGGGAGCTGTGAGTCCTTACCTGACAGCTCCAAGGGCTGTAGCGGGCAGTGGGGCCAGGTTGAAAGCTTCCTGGAAGAGGAGCATGGACAGTCTTTACCTGGCAACTCTGTTGTGGGGACCCCCAAGGGCCCCTGACACGGGACAGGGTGAATGTAAGGAGGGAAACTTGACAGGAGCCAAGCCAAGGTAAGGGCTGTGCCATGGGGCTGTTGTCGGGGGAGCTGTCTCTCAGTGGCCCTTTGCCCTGGCTCTGCAGCCTGGGCAGGAGAAGGCTACTCTCTGAGGCAGTGCCCCTTCTTGCTGAGGCTGAACCAGGGCCTAAGCAGTGGGTGGAACACCTGGGCATTGTGATGGGCACCTGTCCATCTCAGAGTATCCACAGCCTGTCCAGACTGTTCCCCCAGCTGATAGAGGGGACCATTTGTGCCCAAAAATGTGTATTTGTGTTTTGTTGTGAGCAAAGTTCTATATAAATACTTAGATCAAACTTGCTAATTATGTTAATACACTTTCTACTCTTTTATTGTCTATTTCAATGGTTCTCAAAGCGCGGTCAGCATTCCCCAGGGGGACCCCAAGACTCTTTCCAGAGGGGTATACAAGGTCAAAATTGTACATATTCAAATGCCCATTCAAAGAACAAGATAGGTCAATGGATTTTAAGGTAATTGGGTAAGAGAAGCTAATTGATATGGTTTCAGATTCTGAATTACATTTAAGAAACTATATATGTTAGGCCGGGTGAGGTGGCTCCTGCCTGTAATTCCAGCACTTTGGGAGACCCAGGTGGACAGATTACTTGAGCTCAGGAGCTTGAGACCAGCCTGGGCAACAGGGTGAGATCCTGTTTCTACTAAAAATACAAAAAAATAGCCAGGCATGGTGGCGTGTGCCTGTGGTCCCAGCTACTCAGGAGGCTGAGGTGGGAGGATTGACGCTTGAGTGAGGATCGGGGAGTGGGTTTTGTTGCGGGGGCAGTGGAGGTTGCAGTGAGCCAAGATTGTACCACTACACTCCAGTCTGGGTGACAGAGCGAGACCCTGGCTCAAGAAAAAAAAAAGAAAAGGAAATTACACATGTCAGTCTTTGGGGTAGTATCAAAGAAGCATATCCACGATGAACTGAAAAGGCCAACAAAATACTCCTTCCTTTTCCAACTACTTTTATGTGCGAGACCAAATTTTCTTCATATACTTCAACCAAAACAACATATGGCAGCGGATTGAATGCAGAAGCAGATATGAGAATCCTCTGTCTTCTGTTAAGCAAGACATTACACAGATTTGCAAAAATGTAAAACAATGTCACTCTTCTCATTAAAATGAATTTTTTTTGAAAAATATTTTTTACAACAATTATGTTAACATATTAATATTTATTCTTTTAAATGCATTAATGCATTTAATTTTTTCTCATTTTTAGTTCCAAATATGGTGAATAATGATAGGTATAAACCCATGTAAACAAAATCTCTTTGGGATTCTCAATTTTTTTTTTTTTTTGACAAGTCTTGCTGGAGTGCAATGGTGCAATCTTGGCTGTCTACAACCTCTGCCTCCCAGGTTCAAGCGATTCTCCTGCTTCAGACTCCCACGTAGCTGGGATTACAGGTGTGCGCCAACACACCTGGCTAATTTTTAGTAGAGATGGGGTTTCACCATGTTGGTTGGCCAGGCTGGTCTGAAACTCCTGACCTCAGGTGATCTACCTGCTTCAGCCTCCCAAACTGCTGGGATTACAGGTGTGAGCCACCTCGCCCAGGCTGGGGTTCTCCATATTTGAGAGTACAAGGAGGTTCTGAGACCAAAATGTTTAAGAACTGCTGAGCTACTTAATCTGCCTATTTCTGATGGAGGTATATGAAATCCACTGTGCATACGGGTTTGGCAATTTTTCCTTTTTTTGAAATCAATTTTTTGCTTTCTATACCTTGACGCTATGTTGTCAGGCATATAAAGCTTCATGATTTTTATAGCTTCCGGTTGAGTTGTAACTTCTATCTGTATGAAATATTCTTTTTTATTCCTTTTAATGCCTTAGGCCTTACGAATAATGATTTCATGCACCAACACTTAACCAGAACCTGCTATGGGACAGGTATAGTTGTGAAAGAGACTTGGTCCTTGTCTGTGTGGAGTACACGGGCACATGAAGGCAGTGTACGCAGTGCAGCAGGAAGAGTCTGGGCTTCGGAGTCAGACTGACCTGTGCTGAATTCTGAGTACTTCCTCGTGGTGTGTCCTTGGGCCTGTGTGTGTTGGACCTTGAACCTCAGTTTATCTATAAAACAGAGTTAATAGCATCTATGTACTGGTAGTGCTGGTTGGTGAAGGCTTCCTGAGATAATGAGTGACAGCAGCACCCTGCAGAGTGTCCTGTGTAGTCACTCTGTGATCAGTGAAGCAGCACAGCCAGGAGATCTGCCCCATTTATGTCCCCTGACAAGGCCTGCAGGAGAGGCAGTTTGGGGCAGTGGGGAGCACA